CGGGAGAATTCAGTAATGCAACGGTTGGAACAGCTGCTTCCCTACGACCTTAAGCTTCCTCTTCCTTCAGTCTGCTTGATGATGATCAGCAAATATTTAGGCAGCAAAGTAGAAACATTCTCAGTCCTGAAGGTCCTCAGGTCAGATGCTCAGTTCTGTTCTACAGATTTATAGGGGTATTAAAGGTAAGTCGGGTCCCCTGGATGAACCATCAGTTATGCAGCTGCATGTTTGAGCTCCTGAAAGGTTGAATTGTGTTAAAGTCTAAAACATTTGTTGTGTCGTGATGAATTTTCCTTTGTTTCTCTTCTCAGGCCTCGTCTGCGAGGAAGTCAGGGAGAAAAAAGCAGCAGAACGTACTCTGCCTCTTCCTCTGAGGAAGACCAGGCTGCTGCTCCTGCTCCGTCCTCTCTGCTGTCTCTGCCGTCCTTTAAGGACGCAGGCAGCGATCGGGGCGGGGAGAAGGAGATCTGGGTGTCTGTCTTCAGATACCTGAACAGAGCGGAGCTGCTGGCCTGTATGACCGTCTGTAAAGCCTGGTATAAATGGTACGTCTCTCCTCTCTGTTTTGGATGCTGAGCTGGGAGCTTCCCTCTAAACCACCTCCTCCTGTCCGTGTGTGTAGGAGCTGTGACAAACGCCTGTGGAGTCACATCGATGTGAGTCGGTGCAACCCGCTCAGTAACCAGGCGCTGGCGGGCATCATCAAACGCCATCCCACCTCTCTGGACCTGTCCTGGACGCCGCTGGCCATGAGGCAGCTGAACTGCCTGCTCACCAGACTCCCAGGTACAGACCACCACTAACCCTCCTCCCCCCATCCACCAGAACGCCGTCTCACTGCAGCTCTGCATGTTTCTGTAGGTCTGAGGGAGCTGAGGCTGACCGGTCTGCCCTGGTCCTGTCTGTCAGCGCTGGTCTCTCCCACCCTGCCCCAGTTACAGCTGCTGGATCTACGCTGGTGTGAAGGCATCAGAGAGGCCCAGATTAAAGAGATCATCACTCCACCAGGTCAGTGGATGACGCCGTCAGACCCTCCCAGAGTGGAATTCATTCTTCTCTGTGCTTTAGAACCATAGAAATCAGAGGTTCTGTTTCTGAAAGGACAGTCGCTTCAATAAGAAGGGCTTTAATATTCAATATATTTCAGGT